ATATAGATTTGTTATCCAATTATATACTATAGGGAATCTAAATAATATTAATTGTATATTCCTTGTATATAATGATTGTCTGATTTATAAGAACCTTGAATTATTCTAATATCCTCTTCATCCGATCGGCTGTCTTGTTTCCTTTGAAGAACTTCTGTTTTTGTATTATTGTTATATCTGGAGGGCAAGTTTTACTAGGTTTAATGTCTAATTGTAGATTGAATCTATAATTTGCAAAGAAAAGTGAACAACTAGTAGTTTCTAACACAATATTATTAAAAAACAAATTTGGCAAAGAGTAGCTATTCTATCCAATTGTCTTAATGAAAATTACAAAGGCATATAAATATTATTCCAGGATCGAATTTATATATTTTATTTATTTATTTGTTTATAGACGAAAAATAAAAGAATATTTGAAGATTACCTTTAAATATTCCGATAATTGAGTCTAAAATCCTAATACAAATTGTATCCCCCAATCCGAAATTATATTATTCAGAAGATTATGCAGAATATAGATACAGGTAATAAAAGTATTAATTAATTTATCTATATTCAAGGATCTTATTCCAATGAAATAATATATTTAAGTTAATCTGTAAACTATTATTAGATTGTATTTGAATATTAAATTGTAAAACTTGTAATCTAAAAATAGTGTAATATAATTAATAGATATATTAGATTAAACATAGAATAGTACTAGTAATAACTTTAAAAACTCTGGAGGCATAGATTTCAATAATTTAGTTCAAATATAGAGTTTGTATGCTTGGATATAGACAATGATTTTATAATATATTTGAGATTATTAATAATTTTGGGAGATTAAATTAATTGTTTTTATTCAGCCTGGATATCCCCTAGAACCTGAAAAATGTATATAATATATAATCTAGACTTTTAACTTATCATTTAGGCGAATCCATAGTTTTTTGTAACAATAGATTTTTTTGTTATATATTCAGTAATCCTATAATATTATTTACAAGATCTTTCTGAATTCCTTTGATTATTTTGTAGTCAACAGATCTTTCATTACAGTTTTGAGTTACTTTGTTATTTCCGATTTATTGTAAGCTATTATGATTAGATTATCAATTAGAATATCTTCCAAAGGTATAGTTAGATCAATTGATGCTAATATTATGCTTTCAATCAAGTCCCTGTATAATCTATTATCGAATCTTGTAACTGATAGCATTGTATATTCCCTGTTTTTTAATCGCTTATTATCCGGATTAGAAGAGATTGGTTTATTCTCATAACAATAGTTGAAAGCGTCAGGGTATATTGTTTTAGACCCTGGTTGATAGATAATATAAAAGTTATACTAGGAGAGGAACTTTAACCAATGGATTTGCTGTTGATTGAAAGCTTTGATTATCATAAAGTATTCTAGATTTTTGTGATTTATCAAAATTTCGAATTCTTGCTAGATTCCTTGGAATTCTAGTTGTTATTCTTCTAATGATTTAATTATAGTTAATAATTCCTTATCATAAATCTTGTAATTATATTTAGTAAATAAATATTTTAAGGAGAAATATATTATAGGGCAAAGGATATTATCATTATTGTATTGAAAAAGGATATTTTAATATTTATCCAATGTATTCGTTCTAAAACTAATTTCTATTATAATCGAAGTAGTACTAGAATAAAATGCTGTGATAAAGATAAATTTAAGG